TATTCCTGAAGTGAATGAAATGGGCTTAAATTATTTAAACTTTGAAGTGGTTTAGGAATAATGCCAAGTGCTGATGCATGGAACAGCCACAGTGCAACAAGTAGATGAGCCTGCTATTCAAGCATGTTCATTCCTACTTGCAATCTTGTTGTTCTGAATTCCTGAACCAGGAATTTAGAGCCCAGCAATTTCTAAAGAACCACAAGTTTAATCCAGTCCTAAAGTAATGCCTTTACTTCGAAAGGAGGAGGGTTAGCTGTTGGAAAAAATTAACTTGGTGTAGTAGTTCCTTGAACATAACTTGTTTTATCACCAACCCCTTCTCCCTCCCACTCTACAGTCTCTTATGCCACCTCTCATATGGAAAGGTCATATATGGTAAAAATATGCTTTTATCTGCAGCATAAATTATTCTACACACTCTACTAAATGGCATGACTTCACAAAGCTATTCACGAATTGATTCATCCCCAAAATGGGGAAATAGCATTTTGAACGTAATGAAATCCCTGTCTGTTATTTATTAATATATTTCTAGGATGAAGATCTGGTGGCAGATACAATGAGGCTACAAGCATTGGTGTGTTCCAAGAATCTAAAAAACTCCATGTATCTCACCCCTTTGACATCTGTGATAGTGACTCTCAATACTTCATTTCAGCCAATTTAGACATTTTTACAAGAATAAATGCACTAAACAATGCTGCTATATTTTTACTTAATGAATGAGTTGGGTTCTTTTCATTCCAGGACTGTGCAGATTTCATTTAGGACCTCCACTGGAGAAAGTCCTTGGATTGTTGTTTTTGAAGAAAGCAACAAAGTGCAGCTGATTCTTGGGGTGGGAGATGGCCAAAAGATCCATCTTCCTTCAAGTCAAACAAAGATGAAAGACATTAGTTTTGAATTCTTGTTGGTCTTGTCCATGTATTAATACTATACCTTGGAACTTAAGTATCTGGTCTGTTACTCAATCCTGAATCTCATGGAATGACACATTATGTCATTAGATAGTAGTCCATATCTCTCAGTGAAAGCTTTAATAGTAAAGGAGAAACTCAAAAGTTATTTTACAAGAAATATGGAATTAGCCTAAATAACCAGCTCTCTTGATCTTTGCAATCCTGAGAATCTTGTTAGGACTATTATTTGGTTCGTTCTTCATTCACTTCGCAATTACTGACTAATGAAGAACATAAAGGGCGATACTTCCACAATTCATGTTTGCTTTTGGTTATTTTGCTCCTCCTTTTCGGGTAATCCTTTATTTTTGCTCCCAAATGACAGTAATGCCATTTGTTATCAGAAGCGCATTTTCTCGATTTCCTGTCGCCATCATCTAAGAACTAAGTGGAAATATCCTGAATTTCATTTTACATTTTCTGTTAGCAATGTGAGAATATCGTGAAATTCATTTTTTTCTGTGCTTATTAGAAAATTTCTGAAACCTATGTTTTTCGGAATTTCCTGCTTAGTAGAATATATATTCTCTGATTTGTTAGAATCTTTCATCAATAATTATTTATATTCATTCCTTCACACAGCGGGGTGTGTCATCAAGAAAAATAAATTTTACCCTTTCGTCATATTTTGTGTTATTTACTTGCCCCTCCTATTCTACTTCATGGCCAACAAATGTAGCATTACCTAAACACGAATTTCTTGGTTCCTGCTTGCCCTTTAACATTTACTTCCCAGACTTTTAACCTGTGCTGAAGTAGAACACCTCGAAGAATGAACATTTCAGGCATGCAAAAAGTAGCATACAATGATACATTACTGGATATTGATATAAAGCTACGCTACCATGGCAAGTCATGCGAGGATGTTGGCTTGCCTGCACCACGAGATACATCCACTGAGGTGGGAAGGGAATTATTACGGTGGACCCAGTCGGAAATGGAACTATATATTAAGGATTGGCTACCGAAACTCACTGAAAATCAGAATGCCGTATTCAGTTACGTACGCATTGACCAACTGAAGGATGCCCCAAAAATAATATTCATTGACGGACCAAGTGGGACTGGGAAGACTTTATTACTACGAGTGATTACATCTTATCTTAGAGTTAGGAATAAAATTGTACTCTGCACCGCATCAACAGGCATTGCTGCTCTCAACCGTGAGGGAGGAGACACCGCCCACTCTACTTTTAAGTTGCTTCTTGAAGCCATGGACCGAAGAGCATATTGCAACATCTCAGCCAATACTCAGCGAGTTCAACTTTTAACCCCTTGCGGTCATATTTATTTTCCACTAGTTATCCCCTCAGGCCATATTTAATTTTAATGAAAAAAGATGAAACACATTTCAACAAATCATTCCAAATGTCGGTCGGTAGATGGATAAATACAATCGGTAGATGTCGTGTGAAGTAAAATACCATAATAAATGGCAGGAAAAAGTGATTTCGGGTGTGTCCGAACAAAGGACGGCGGGCAAAAATGATATATTTGTGATGTTGGGTAACACCCGACATATTACCGGAACTAATTTTTTTAAATGTCGGGACCTGCCCAACACATGACCGCAGATTGTTAATAGCAGCCTCAGTGATAATATGGGATGAAGCTCGAATGTCTCAGAAGCACAATTTTGAAACCCTGGATCGTACACTCAGTGACTTCCTTGACAAACCAAATCTTCCCTTCGGTGGTAAAGTAACAATTTTGGGTGGCGACTTTAGGCAAATACCACCAGTTGTTAAGTACGGGTCAAGAAACGACATAATTAATGCGTCAATATAGTCATCCCCGCTCTGGACAAAGTTGCAGTCGTTCCATTTAACCCAGCACCGAAGATGAAAGGGTGATCCGGATTTTCTGACTTTGTTTTGGCTGTTGGGAAGGATCGTATTGGGAAGGTCAAAGTTGCTGAAGCCGTCGAGGAAGTGCATGTGATTCCATGGATGTATTCCATTGATTGATTCCATTGTAAATGTGGTCGATACATTAAACTCGCAAATTAATTTCGTATATCCGATATCTGTCCTAAACAATCCATATGCATGCAGTACAAGGACCATTTTGTCGGGAACCAACAATAACATAGATGAAATCAATAATTTAGTGCTCAAGAGATTGGATGGGGAATCAGTCAACTAGTGGAGTGCTGATACGCTGGTCTGTGATGAAGGAAATCCTGATGCTAAACATTTCATTGCTGATCTTCTACACGCACTCACTGAGCCTGGTGTTCCCAATCNTTCTACACACTCTCACTGAGCCTGGTGTTCCCAATCATAGGCTGACTTTGAAAGAAGGTGCACACTGTATTGTTATAAGAAACCTCTCTTTTCAAGATCAAATAGTAAATGGCACGAAATTGTTTGTTACCAAGATCTCAAGGTTGCTAATTGAAGCACATATTCTTAGCGAGAAGAGCTGTGATTGCAAAAGAGTGCTAATTCCAAGAATCCCATTCAAATTCCAAGCTGGTCGGTCTGGTTTAGAAATAATGAGAAGACAATTTCCTTTGAAGTTGGCATATGCTCTCACTATTAATAAATCACAAGGGCAAACATTAGACACCGTTGGGCTGGATTTCCGCAATGATGTATTTTGTCATGGACAGCTGTATGTAGCATTAGGTAGAGTTAAAAAAAGGGATTCCATAAAAGTACTTGTGCCTAAATATAGATATGAAGATGATGAAAGAACTCCCCATACAGCGAACATAGTCTATAAAGAATTATTGCATTAAAACTCTCAAGTGGCTTAAGTGGGTGCCTATCGAAAACGGATGCCTTAGATCGCAGAGCGCCGAAGGCGCGTCCATAGCGAGTTTGTTTGCCCTTTGGGCAATAAATCAAAAGCCTTCGGGCAATAGTCTAATATATATAGACGATCGTGACTGACTTATATAGATATGGAGATGATGAAAGAACTCCCCATACAGCGAACATAGTCTATAAAGAATTATTGCGTTAAAACTCTCAAGTAGCTTAAGTGGGTGAGCATCGAAAACGGATGCCTTAGATCGCAGAGTGCCGAAGGCGCGTCCCTAGCGAGTTTGTTTGCCCGAAGGGCAAACCAACTCGCTAGGGACAAACAAACCGCAACAGGGGGACAACAGGGGACAACTAGGGGACAACAAACCGCAAGTGAAGCGGCTAGCACTTTGCAAAAGCATTCTGGAGAGACCATAGAAGAACTTAGAAGTAATGGTTTCTGTATCCATGCTGCTATTAGGAAATATAGGCTAATGTTGCTCAAGGCTCATATTAGTTCCACGGTCATGAGTCAAAGAATCGTTTGCATATGACTTTTAAGACATCGATGTATCCCGAATTCCTGTGGGAACTGGATTGATAAACAGGTCTACACATTTCGACAATTGCATGTACTCTTCGATAGAACTATTTTTTAAATTCGCCCAAACTAATTATTCAGTCTATAAGGGGATTCCTTGTGAAGGGCCGTATTACCCCATTGGCCATATTCCCCCAAGTTACCCTATCCAGAGGATCATTTTCAGGTGGTCTGATTTCACTGGCTTAGGCCTTACGCAGGACTTCTAAACTTCTCCCCCAAATCCTCAATACCCAGATCGACGGGCCCCAGGTTAAGAACCCCTGGCCTAACCGATGGACGCATATACTTATACCTCTAACACAGACTTTCTTCCTTTAGAAAACCAGTAGGGAAATCAAATGGTCAGACCCATTTAATTATGGGGTTTCACCGCTTCATTAGGCGTGAGCTTCGAAAACGAATGCTGTAATGGATTAGTAATTTTCTTCGATCATAATGCGCTGAAGGCGCGTACATGGAATTTCTTTGCCCGTAGGGAAAAGTCGCAAGTACAATGAATGCGTCACGAACACAATAATTTATTTATAAGCAGTCGATAATTCGCTCCAAATGGTGAGGCCATATGCGCTAAACACACACTGACAATATGCTACTCCAACAGGAATCATATCGAACTTCAATTGCTCTTCAAAATGACGAGAGCATGGATGTGTTTCCTGTATCTCCTCGTCCAACTATTTCCAGGATCGATATCGATGGATCGATCCTTGGAATACCGGCTGCAATTCCCCGAAAGGAGATACAAGGCAGTGGCGATGGAGTTCCTAGTGGAGAATTTGGCTGGTTGCGCTCTGAAGTGTCTCCACACCGACCCCCAAGCTCCATGTGGCTGTTTCAATTTTCGACCGTCAGACCGATCATGTCAGGTGATCGTCTCTGGAGATGAAGAAATGGTTCCAGCCGAAGACTATTGGGCGTTCACACGCCGTGAGTCCACTCGAATCTCTCTGACATCGCAGACCTCTCCACTCTGAGGGAAGTGATTAATTTCGTTATCCTAAGGGACATCATCGATCTATGAAAGACATCTATTTCAGTCAGAAACTTCATACCGTAGGTTTCTTAGAAACGTTTACGTCCATGATGGAAAAAGAAAAAAAAAACCTTTCCATTAGCTTGACCAAAAAATGCTAATCCATCTGCTTGTCCACCTATTGCAAAGAATCTGGTCTACTCGGTGGCTTGGCGGTTTTGAAACTGTCTTGCCTTGTGCTTAAATATCCATGGACATGTTCAAAAAATCTCATGAAACCTCAGTCACAATTTTTGTACCACAATAGGTGCATAGATGGGAATTCTTTAATGTCATCCATCGATATGCATAAAGGCAAATGGTATGTCGAAATGCATTTCTGTCTTTTGTACCTCACCGTAGACGATAAATTGGAACCTGGCATCACGTCGAAATGAGACCTGTGGATCATTGATCCTACACCTTCATATCGCGGATTTTCATATCTCCGAATTCTTTCGGTATATAAAGCCAACGTTAATGACATGTTGCAGAGTGAAACGAAAGGAAGGGGGCTCTGGACGGCAGCAAATAAAATGAAGGGAGTATATTTTCAGAGAAAAGCATTGATATGTTCATTGGAAAAAGTGATCAGACAGAATTGGAGCAAATTCCTGAAACGAACTCAATACCAAAGTTATGGTCAAATCCCCTATTCCGCCTTAGACGAAAAATGTAAAACTTTTAATTTACTACCCAATTTCTAGCAACATTGCAAAAATCAAACCCAGTTTAGTGAGATTTCATGTTTTATTCAAATATATATCTCGCTTCCCCGTAGTTTCCTGTGCGAGCATGCATCCAAATATGAAAAACGTGAACGTGGAGTATGAAGGATGGAAGGGAGATTATCCAGCACCTGCAGGTGCGAGTGTTTTTGTGCGAGATAAGCCTGATGTTTCCGTGAACTCAGTAAAGCCAAATTTAAACAATTCTGGCTTATATGCATATTGAAATGAACTACTACGCTTCTAAGCCATTTTGAAAACCTGGTGCAAGGAGAAAATTAATTGAAGTTAGTCATTAGTGATTTGAAACATCAGCAAGCAGGGTTTATAAATTTTCAGTTGCATTAGAAAAAAAATGAAGAAATTAAGCGTGAACAGAAAAACTGAATAAGTTGAAAATATTTGTGAGAGCTTCTAGTGAGAGCTCTTGTTTCGGAATACACTGAGCGACTGAGTAATGAACCGTAGCAGAGTAGTCTGCTGATCGAGCTGACGACGTGTTGTAACTTACCATAGTAACTCAAACCACGTCGTTTCTCTAGTGTTTCTGCACACACTGTTAAATGAACTGTATCGGAGCAGTCATGCTGATCGAGCTAAGGATCAGACGAGTGAAGATGAGACAAGTCAAATTTTTTGGCTATGAGGGTCTTTCACGACCCAACATTGTGTCGTGACGCAGGGTTTGTGAACCCAGGGATTAAGGCAATGAATTAGATTGCCAAGTATCATGAAACGAGTTCAACAAGACTCACCAAAATGCCTAATATTGAGATGTTAAATTCGAATTACAGGATGACAAAAAGATGAACACCAAAAGACCAAAAAATTACCAGTTAGATTATTGTCAGTTTATCCAGAGTGCCGGAAAACAGAGAGAGGCAAGGAGTACGTGGGAAGACGAAATAAGACTGTGACGGGGAAGGATTGCCTTAGATGGGATTCCAAGCCCAACGGGAAACCCAATGACTTCGTGGCCACGCTTCTTTACGAGGAGCATTTCTTCAATGAGGACCCAGGCTCCCATGAAAACTATTGCAGAAATCCAACTTTGAAGGAAAGACCTTGGTGTTTCATCTCGGATTCTAAAATCGAGTGGGAATTCTGTGACATCCCCCTCTGCGAAGATCAAGGTCAGATGATTCTAAGTTGTTAAATAAATGAGATTATGCTACTCCTTAAATTAATTTGGTGAGAATGCGTCCTAATGCCAATAGCTGATAGATAATAGATCCGCGGATGATGAGAACGGCGAACACTTCTCAGAAAAAAATGAGAATAAATGTGAGATTCCATATGAAATGAAAAGAAGTTTTAAAGAAGATTGAAAATGAAAAATGACTTAAATTGGATGAAGTAGGTGTTTTAAAACACCCTTCAAGAGGTGTTACCAGAAAGGTAGCGTATCCTTAGATGTGGTAACACTATTTCAATTGCTTTGTAGTTCCACTGGAGTGCAAGCTGACGCAGAAAGGTGGAGAATATATGGGAACCAAGAACAGCACCATTTTAGGGATCCCATGCAAGCCATGGTTGAAAATGCCATTGTCAAGCCAATATCGCAAATGGAGCCAGAGAATCCCTGCGTTCTCAGATGAAGTGCAAGAAGGGCACAATTACTGCAGGAATCCCGGGGGTCGTCCTGCCGGGCCTTGGTGCTACTACGGCACCTTGGAACATGAATGGCAGTACTGCGACGTCCCCTTCTGTTCTCTTCCAGAACGAGAAACGAGTCAGTGGAACAATGAATTGAACAAGTAGGCTCAGGATAATCATAAAAATGGACCTAGGGAGTCTCAAGTAACAGTTCATGGATGATTCTAATAATCATTTTGGAAGAAGAATCATTTTCATATCATGAATCATAAGTTCAAACCTTTTTCTCGATATCCTGGTTCGCCGCTAAGGTTCGCCTTTTACTTCCAAAAGTATGTTTTTTTTTCCAAATTTCTGGCGATGTGGAACGCATTCATTGGAAGTCCCATTCCAAAGCGGTAAAATAATTTTACCTAACCTGATCTATCCTTTTTGAAACTATTGACTTCTGTGCAGAAATGATTTTTTTATATTTACGTTTGGCAAGGTGCGCCCTCTCAAAATATACTTGTGAATTTCAAATCGATTGAAAGACCGAAACTGGCGATTGAACGTTCGACATTGGTGAGTGTCCAACTGGGAGGAAGTGGCAAGATCATATCTCAGGAAGCAATTTCGACTATTAGTTGGGAAGTTAAATCCATGGTCTGTAATCGTGTTGGATGTAACAGTTTAATGCATCAGGATAATGCATGCTTCAAGTCGATGCACGGTCAACATTCCTATTACGTTCCATGATTCGTGCAGCCTAACAACCTTTTGAAGCTCCATCCAGAGGTTTGATACCAGTTCCGTCTTCCAGTTGGAAACTCAAATACCTATGGTGAAATGGTTTGAGTGGAAGAGAAAAGCAAACTAGCATTCAGCAAGTTTTCTCCGCTTTACTTATCTCGCGATCTCGAAAATTTTTTCTTTGATTTTTCTACGAATTCTCCAGAATATTTCTGTCACATTTCATCAGAAAGAACCTTCTAAATAACCGTTTTGGGCGATAAATATGAACTCCAATGTCGCTATTGAAATTATAATAATCAGCCATTTTCTAAATATATTTTAATCCCACTGACTTTAAATTCTAACTTCCTTCATCGTAAGCAAGGACGAGTTTGTGTACTAAATGTATTCAATATCGCTTAAATCTTTCTAGGTCGTGGGTTTTTTGGCGATGAGTATATTTATTTCTCGCGCCCATACTTAGGCCAGTCTCTGAAATGAAGGGTGAATAAATGTGGTTTCTTCTTTGCAGGTCAAATTCCAAAATTTGGAGCGATTTACCCAAATTGTCGAATGACGAAAATGGGCAGGGAGTACATGGGCAATGTTAAGACAAGCGAGACAGGGAAGCCGTGCATGAGATGGGGTGAATTCCAAGGCAAGGAACGATTCCCAAGCGTGATGGCGAAGCACTTCCCACTCTCAGTGGATCCCAAACAAATAATTCCTTACTTTCAGTTGTTCATTAATAAGAAATTTCTCGATGCTTTGAATTACTGTCGAAACCCGGGATCGGGAGAGAGACCATGGTGTTTCGTCTCCAAGAATCCTTCTATTGAATGGGAATACTGTGACATACCCTTCTGCGACGACCTTGGTACGTTTATTAGTTTCAGAGGCTTAATTTTTACATATTCTTATCTTCGACGACTTGCAGAACATTCATTTTGAATTACTTCATGTCATGGCTGGTTTATTCTCCATAAAACATCCGCTTTCGAAGGAATTAACCCAGGTAAAACCATCTTAGTTCGAACAGTGTCTAATTCTGAACACGTTAGCGTTCAATGTCAATAAATACGCTTTCGCGAAATCATCATCAGATAAAGTTCTTCTTAACCTAAGATGACTATGTTACTAAGCGAAAGACTCATGGTGGCAACGATCGCTTTGCACGATTTCGAATTATCTGAGTGAAATGAATGTGATGTCGCCGACAGGACAAATTGAAGAAAATGCACGCGGACGACCGAACCTGAAATACGCTTCACGAGCGTGAATGTTAAATCTCTGAATAATGAGATCATGGGCATGCTACTATACATTTTTGAGACTTCTTTGCAAATAAGAATATGACGAGCAGGAATTAAATTCAATGTAGGAACACCAAGCGACGCATTGAATTTTTACCTTGTGATCCTCATGCTGAGAATCATATGACGTCAATATGTATATCTCCAAAATGACGCCATTTTTAAGGTGCAAACGTTAAAGGGGGGAATTGCTAAGCCCATTATGCAAGGACATTTGCCTCATTATTACGTTTCAGCTTCGACAAATGATGCTTTAAATGAATTAGTAGTTTTGTTTGATCATAAAACACCGAAGGCACGTCCATAGCGAGTTTGCTTGGCCGAAAGGGAAAGAAACACGTTAGAGTGATACATAATTAGTAGGTACTGGTGTACAGAAGGACTTGTTCATCTAGGCTATGATTCATCCACATGATCATTTGGCAACCTTTGCCAAACCCTCAACATCTGTCTCCTACTTCCTCATTCAGAAGAGACCGCATTGGGGAGTTCAAGTCTCCATACATCTGTGAAATTCCTTTGTATTGCGGCATTTTCTGCAAGTCATCCTATGAGGCTTTCTCATTTGATTGGGAAATAATGATCATAATCCAAAGTGAACCAAGTGTTGCAAATATCCTCACTATTTTTCCTATGCGACTATTACGATAGGAATTTTAGTCAAAGTTATTGCATGTGTCATATAATCTGCATTATCAAACTATAGAACAGTATTATGAAACTGCGATAATGCTGTCAGGCGTATATTAGGCATTTATCATTATCAATACGGCATTGCAAGACCTAGCTCTTAACCAGGAAGTTTAAAGCCAACCATGAATTATCATGGTCCCCAAGAATAAACGAGTGTCATGTGCAGAAGTCGAGGCTAGTAATGAAGGAACCCCCTAAACAGGAGTTCTTGTTTTTGGAAAGGGGAGGTAGGATTCAAGATTCAAGATAGTTAGTGATATCAAGAGGCGGATTTAACCCATTTCGACATCACGTGTCGGGGATCGAGCGTTCCGTATTTTTAGGGTAGTCTAATTCTCTGAAAGCTAAATATTTTTCTTACTTTGGGGATTTTTTGCGTATCCTCGTTGCTTACTGTCTAGTACGGAACGTCAACATTGCCCCCCATCTTTTTGCCTAAACACAGAAGCATCCAGTTTCTTCTTAAAGATAGTCACATGAGTGGGAGCCACAACTTCGTCCTCTAACGCATTCCACTCGTTCACCACTCTGCAAGTAAAGAACTCCTGTCTCGACCTAAGCCTCACCTAGGTTTGCGCAACTTAAGTTGGTTACCTCTCGTTCTCATGCTGCCATCAAACTGGAAAAACCTACCACACTCGACCATTTCTATTTCTTAAATCATCTTGATAGCCTGCATGAGATCGCCCCTCCTTAACTATCGCTGGAGCGAGAATAGTTCTAACATTTCTAAACGCTTCTCGTGTTAAAATCCCCTGACCTTAATCATTCTTGTGGCCCTTCTCTGTACTCCCTCGAGCGCCAACAAATCGTCCTTATTTGGGAAGAGAAGAATTAAACACGTCCTTAGTAAAGGTCGATGTCGTTTCGGGTGACACGGATGTGTCCCTCAAGCTCACTCAGTCTGTTACCTAGCCGAGATATAACTGACATTCAAAACGCTTCCGGGCGGGGGGGAAATGTGCATGAAAAGTTTTCTCCTGGAGAGTTCATTCTAGCTCATCAGATGGTAAAAGTAACACACTACACCCCAGGGACCCCAAGTAGTATTTCAACCTGTGGCTAGCAACTGAATAAGCAATGTCTTTTAAAACAGATGACCAAGACATGTCATAGTTCATAGAATGCATCTTTGCGCTCTGTCCTATAGATACATATACGCAGAACACCAGGCATCTATGGGTTAGCATGAATAGTATGGTGTGCGGTTGTGTCTCTTATCAGCTAAAGATCCCAAGATGTTGGAAAATTTTTCCTGAAAGATCTAAACGCCGTTACTTTCAAAATAAGTGCCATTCAAAATATTTCACAATCCAATACAGAGTTACAGACTCCAGGAATACATGGTCCACTACATAGTAGTACGATAGTATTATCTTCAATCAGAACTGAAAATTAAATTGTATTTTTTACAGTTTTCTGTGAAATCAACATGCACATGATTTCCAGATAAATAAACTCCTTCATATGTATTTTATTCTCATGTTCAGACAGTTATAACATGCAAACAATAAACCCACGTTGGGTTCATAGTTACAAAGCCCACATTGCAACGAGTGCAGCATATTACCGGCTTTGCTGTTATTAGAGTAGCAATACCTCACTAAGACGATCTGGGGCCTGTTTCATGGAATTTACAAGTTCTACAAGTTGCAAGTTACAAGTACTTGCAAGGGTCGTGCTCCTTGTTTAACTCTTCCTGCTGGTCCCGCTGGCCCTTCGTACAAATAAAACACGACCCTTGTAATTATTAGTAACTTGTGTATTGTAGAACTTGTAAATTCCATGAAAAAGGCCCCTGCATGTCCAAGAAGCGCTTGTTGCGTGGAATAAAAATGGCATCCCAAAGGGGAGCTTGTGGCTCTACAGACTGTCCAGGAAGTAACTGAAAATTGTCCTTCCGACCTAGCCAATAGCTTATGAAGGTATGGTCTTGTAACTCGACCTCTCCAATAGACTTTTAGCTTTAGTGATTATAAAAGTCTGTTGCGCATCGTGCAGCACATACCACCTTAATAGACCTCTCACATGCTATCCGCCATTATGAGGCAATATTAGATGTTGTACTGCTTCGATCAGCCGTCTATTACCGCATATCTCAGATGCAAGCAATCGTAGACATGAAAGGAGATCAAATTGAGCAAATGCAGAAATTAAGCAAATGCTGGTGGCCGTATCCAATGACATCCTACGTCTTTTCCCAAGGGCCCATTAATGTTTGCACAAAGTAGAACAGCTTTACTATGCAAAGGTTACATATTATAACTCAGAACACTGGAATAGATTTTATTATTTCCTGTATGTGCTGCCAGACATATTAGGCTGCATAATAGGTGCATAATTGATGTAGGATTCAACATTTCTAAAATCCTGACTTTTCAATATTATTGGTTCCCCAGATTTCCAGCTGACCATTGTGATACCCAATCATCTATGCGGCTCCTCCCGCGATCTTCTTCTTACTCCATTTTTCCGTGCAAATTTAAAATATGCAACCGTTTACCTGTGCGACACTAACATGAACTTCGTTGAATAATTTCAGAGCATTCCAAAATGTAAACATCAAATTGACCCAAGAGAACTCTTAGTATATCAAAACACCCCTGTTCAACCATTTTGGCAGTTCCAATGGAGTGCAAGCTGACGCATTACGGCGGAGAATATCAGGGGAAAAAGAACGTGTCCAGGTCAGGGAACCCGTGCCTTCCATGGCTGAGCCGAGTTTCAAGTATCAACCAATATGACAATGTTCTACCGGCCTTCTCGGATTCCCTGGACAGTAGACACAATTTTTGCCGCAATCCGGATGGAGCTGTCCCCTCACCATGGTGTTGGACTACCACACCTGGCAACGATCCCAAAATGGAGGAATGCGACATCCCTTTTTGCTTTGAGCTCCTCCTGGAACATCCAAGCAACTGTGAGTGTGTGGATGTTTTCGATGGTTTTCCTTTCATCTTATGGTTTAAAGGGTACCTGGGTAATGCTTTCAACTGAACTATTCTCCTTGATCTCTGATTCGTGCCCTAGAATGAAAATATGCGCCCACATACTTAGTGTATTTTGCTAGCATCCCCAGAGAGCTTTTGGCGACTGACATGAATTATGCATGCATGCAGAGGAAGAGACTGCAAACGCTTGACTGAAATAGATCTTTAAATGGAATCCAATGAGTATTGATATTGTGTCTGCAGATGAAGAGAGACGCGTTTATCCACAATGTCGTCTAACGGAGATGGGTACGGAATACGTGGGGTCGATGAACAAGACAGAACAAGGAAAAAACTGCCTTCGGTGGGACAAATTGCTACACGGGGATAGGATGCGAAACCCCACTGACCACCCTCCTTCAATGTCTTGCAAGCATTTTTTGTACGCTGACCCACAGTATCACAAGAACTACTGCCGGAACCCGACGTTGAAGATGAAGCCTTGGTGCTACGTTTCTGACTCTCCTATCCAATGGGAATACTGCGACATCCCATTTTGTGACAGCAGGAGTAAGGAATTTGTTTTTACTCATCAATCCCCGGAAATATCTGTGTATTTCAACTGACACCACTCCGTGAATGGGACTTATTATAGGCACTTCAACATGACATCCTGTTCGTATCATGAAAAGAGTGATTCTGTGAGACGTCTGCAACGTATACTTCTCTTAGCCCCCGTGGATTTGAACATTTATGAAGTTGTCTGCAATTTCACAAATCCCATCTGCCAATCTGAAAACCAGAAGTCACGTTGCAAATTTTTCGAAAATGGCGTGTAAAAGTTGAAAATAGGGACAAAATTAAAAGCTGGAGCTTCACAGAAACAGTCAAAGTAGGTGACTACGAATTTCTAAAGGACATGAATCAAATTAAAAGATAACATTTATTTTATGATGGGCTTAACTATTGAGTTTTCTGAGCAATGGGGGTTAAACTGGCACTCATTTCCAAAGTTGGCGCATCCAAACCATGGACGTAGCAAGGGGGGTGTCCTGGGTGTCTGGTCACCCCCCAAAATGAAGCAAGATTTTATGAACCCGGGAGTTTGAAAGTGGGAGGGGGCACATTCGTCATCTTATGAGCCTGAAAGAGTCACCCCCGAAAGTAATTCCTGGCTTCGTCCCAGATCCAAACAATTAAATGAGGAAAGTAAAACTTCAAAATTTACTCTTCTCAAGTCAAAGAGGTTCATTCTTTCTCTACAGCTCCGCCGGAGTGCAAGTTGACTGTGAGTGGTGGGGAATATGCAGGGAGGAAGAACGAGACGAATTGGGGGCTACCATGTCAAAGTTGGAACATCTCTGGGAACCACGGTTTCATTGAGGAGATGAACAGATGGGCTGCATTCTCAGACAACGTACTAGAGGATGGTCACAATTTTTGCCGGGGAAAGACACTCAATGAAAGGTGTACCGTCGGGCGTGGCAGGCCACTTAATTTTATTTCAAAAATTTATGGTCCACACTGCCTTCAAAATGAAGGCGCAGAAGATAGTTGCGACATCCCATTCTGTCCAATGATGATACGACCAAACAATTGATCATCTGGAGTTTGTAATTGTCATTCTTTCCCTGAAACATTTTTTCGAGACGCATAGTTACAAATACTGAATAGTGTGAAATGGGAATTGATCTTGATCTTAATTTGAATGAATCTCTCTCTGGCATTCTTATTCACTCTCCACTTGACTTACATGTAATACAGCCATTTGCAATGACACAGGAACCATTAAGAAAATTCGTGAAATGAAATATCGGTGGAGTCTTCCGACCAGAAATTTCCTAAAAACATGATAGCCATTCACCTCTTTGCCGCTCGGACTTCACACCGAGGCATGGCTATTTTTCCCTGTAATAACACTAGATTCTGGTTTCCTTCACACCTCTCTTTAATTCTTGCACTTCCTTTATTTATATATTTTGCTGTAGTCTTCATATACTGTCAAAAACCTCGTGCTAATTCATAGTCCATGCAGTCCAACCTTACCACACTTAATTATCAAAGAAGTCGTTAAGTGTCATCCATCTTCTTTTCCCCTGGGAGATGAGGATAATTTCCCTTTGACCCCTCTGGCAGTATCTGGCAGTGGAGTCAAAGGGGGTTTTTCAGCGACTTTGTGCGACTGTCGATAAATATCGACAGTCGTTCAAAGTGTAGTAATGAAAGAGACCTTTCCGCACACGAAGTGTATGGAGTTTCAGGACTACTTAAATAATTTCTCGAAAGAATACCGCATTTTACACCTGTTCTCATCGTAGTATCCTGCATGGTATCGATTCTGATGCTACGATGTAAGATAGTAATACTTTTATATGATATGTTGGAAAGGTCCATTTTATGACTCCATTTGAGCCTGTCAATATGCATTCAGACAACTTAGGTTCATAAAACTTTCTTAAAGCGAATTTTGTGGTATTTCCAACGTAATACGAAAAAATCACGAACCTAGATCATCCACAACGGATTTTATACGGTGTCAAACACGACGCGTTTTTTTGCACTCCTCGGTATGAAGGTATCTCCAACGGCGGGCTTTTCTGAACTCAGCACGCCTTTTAGCTTTTGGTGTACCTATTTACAGGTTTCTACCTCATACAGACCATGGTAAAATTAAGCGTCAGTCACTGTCTCTATCACTCACGATCATCTATGTGCTCGTACAAAAAAATCGTGTGCAAAAAAATGGACGTTAGATTTTCGTCAGTTTTACAACAGGAAGCGATGAATTTCGAAACCATATTTTTTTCCACAGATACCCATTCAATATTCTATATAAATACTAGTACAATTGTCATTGATTGATTCAATCTCCCAGTTAATGAATCAAAGTCATCCGTTTCTTTTTTAATTTTTGAGATCAAATGACTTATGGGCAACATTTCAATTTGTTGGCATTCTTCATGCAAGCATCGGTCCTATTCGTCAAGAATTTTGGACTTCGTTTCTCAATGAGTCGTACAAATTGGTCCTGGATTGGTGAAATTGGAATTGCGTCCCAAATGCTTCGTTGCAAGTCAACCGATTCGGGTACATGGTGTCCAAATGCAGGGTACATTCAGATGTTCTTGAAAGATTTGAGCAGAGTATGAGACGGCCATGATTCCTCTACATTAATGGCACGGTACCGGGCCTTTGATGCTGAAGACATTAACACTTATACGCTCAGCGCGCCGATCCATCATCGATCCGATCCATCGGCGCGTCAGGTAATGGCCAGAACACTCAGGCGGCTCCGTCTAAATAATGATCTTTTAGTTACATACATGACTCAAAGGTTGCTTTTGTTGTTTAGTCACATAAATGGCTCAAAATGCTTCCCTAAACACAGGTGCTAACTGCAAAAGGTACGTATGCACTGTTTTACATAATGTGATGCAGTTCCGGACCAGAGAGCTCTACATGCATAAAACTTACATCAAAATTTACAGGAAAATATTCTCTTTCTTACAGGCTTGGTGACAAGAAAAGAAGACCAAAAAGACAATTTTATTTTTTGCCAAATTTATGTAAATTTTACATTTCTATATTTAATTTTTTCAGTTTTTTCAAATTATTTATAGTGTTAGCACTTGCAGGCTATTTTTGTTTAAATCTGCTGTTTATAGTGAATAAGTGTGATTTTTTTCTTATGTCTTTGACCTAAATTGTATTTTTGGCGAATTTTTGAAGTGAGACTTGTAAATTGAGCCAAAATCGCCTGAATGTTTTAGACCAGGTACTTGGAAAATAGGCTGAGTGCGAAAGGGTTAAGGGCCAGGAATCGACCAATCCATGATCTTCTGCCAGTTTTTGGGAATTCGCTTGGGTGTTCCTTTTGTGTATAATAGACTCCAGAGAAAGTCGGACTTCGGAGGCACATAACCTGGGGGCACGTTTCGGAGGCAGTGGGAAGGGGGATCGCTTCAATAAGCCAAGGGTGGATGGATACTTAGGATCACACCACTCACCTACTTTTTTGAACTGAAAAGGGACCAGAGATAGATATTGCCGAATACAGAAAAACTCCGACTTTTTGGGGGTGGTGGGGGGTGTGGGGGGGGGTGGGTGTACATTACATGCCCAGTGGATCATTTTCAGGTGGACTGATTTCACAGGCTTAGGCCTAACAGAGGGGTTCTAAACTTCTCCCCAAATCCTCAATACGCATATCCACAGGCCCCAGGTTAAGAACCCCTGGCCTAACCGATGGGCGCATAGGCGTATACCTCTAACACAGACTTTCTTCCTTTAGGAAGCCAGTAGGGAAATCAGGTAGCTGTTGGATTGCATGCTACAGATGAAGTGCGACTTCTAATGTGGGTGGCCTTTGTGCCCGAATAAATATATAAATATAACGACAAAACTCCATAAGGACTACAAGTAATTCCTGCGTTAAAACGCTGAAGTTTTGATTTTAGAAAAAGAAGACATGCAAAAAGAGTTTGACGACCAAAGGCAAGAATACAATTCAATATGTGAACATCAAAATATGCAATTAATTTTCGCTTAGTTATCCTCATTCTGGGACTTACATGTATGTCAGTATCATCATTTTTGGAAGAAACTTCATTTTTAAGGTACGAGCGCCGAAGCCATACGAATGGTCAAACCCATGAACTTAGGGGCTTCACCGCTTCATTAGGTGTGCGCTTCGAAAACGAATGCTCCAATGCATTAGTAATTTTCTTAGATCATAATGCGCTGAAGAGGAGAGTTTCTTTGCACGAAGGGAAAACTCGCAGGTACAATGAATGCGTCACGAACAAAATAATTTATTTCCGAGTAGTCAATAATTCCCTCTAAAAGGTAATGCCATATGCGCTAAACGCACAAAGACCATATGCTATGCACGAAAGAACCATATCGACTTTCAATTGCCCTTCAACATGACGAGTGCATGGATGTGTTCCCTGTATCTATCCATCCACCTATTTCCGGGAGTGGACCCATTGGATCGATCCTTGGAATATCGCTTGCAATCCCCCGAAAAGAGATATAGAGCGGTGGCGATGGAGTTCCAAGTGGAGAATTTGGCTCGTTGCGCTCTGAAGTGTGTCCACGACGACCTCCAACCTCCCTGTGGAGTTTTCAATTTTCGACCGTCTGACGGATCCTGTCAGTTGATCGTCTCTGGAGATAATGAAATGGTTCCAGCCGAAGGCTATTGGGCGTTCACACGCTGTGAGTTCTCTCGAATCTCACAGACATCGCAGATCTCTCCTCTCTGAGGGATATTATTAATTTTTTCATCCTAAGGGACATCATCGATCAATGAAAGCCATCAATTTCAGTCAGAGACTTCCTGCCGCAGGCTTCTTAGAAAGGTCTACCTCCATGTCATTCGTGCTAAAAGGAAAAAACCTCTTTCATTAGCCAGACCAAAAAAATGCTAATCCATAGCCATATCCGACTATTGCAAATAATTTGGCCTACTCTATGTAAGCCTTGGCGGTTTTGGAACTGTCGTGTCGAAAGCACTCCTAAAATGTAAATACCAATGAGCACGCTCACTAAACATCATGAAACATCCGTCAAAAGCTTTGTACCACAATAAGGATATATATGGGAATTCTCCCAAGCCATCCATCGCTATGCATAAAAGCAAATGGTATGTCGAAAAACTGTACTATAATTCTCCCTTTTGTACCTCACCGTAAGTGATACATTATAAGCTGGAAGCACGTCGAAATGAGAGCTGTGGGTCATTGGGGAGCTCGGGATCACCCCACACCTTCAAAAATCACGAATTTTCATTTCTCCGAATGGTTTCGGTATATAAAACACAAGTCAATGACATGTTGCAGTGTGAAACCAAAGCAAGGGGCCTCTGGACGGCAGCAAACCACAGGAAGGGAGAATATTTTCAGTGAACATCTTTCACATGTTCATTGGAAAAGTGATCAGAATAGAAACTGAGCAAATTCCTGAAACGAACTCATCAATTCCCAAAGTTATTGTGAAACCGCCTATTCCACCTTCGACTAAAAATGTAAAGCTTCTAATTTGAAACCCAATTTCTAATAACATCGCAAATATCAAACCCAGTTAAGTGAGATTTACTCATATTCTATTCAAGAATATATTTCGCTTCCCCCGTAGTTTCCTGTGCGAGCATGCATCCAAAGATGGAAAACGTGAACGTGGTGTACAAGGGATGGAACGGAGATTTGCCAGCACCTCCAGGTGCGAGTGTCTTCTACACCTGCCCTCATCCCGCGAGGTTCAGCGACGGGTCAATCAGTCATTATGCCACTTGCTCCGCTCTCCTGGAAACACCCTGGATAACCTCGTTCAACGACCGGAATGTCCGATGCCAACGTGAGTCTTGTGGGAGTCACTATGAAATTCCAATGGCATCCGATATGCCCAGGGTGATTCCATTTCAAATCAGGCAGGGCCTGTCAGGTCATAGTCTTGGATTTTTTTCAAAAAAATATATGTGATCCCCCCTTTCAAATGATGGAAAATGGTATCTTATTTTCCTCTATATCTGCAATAGTTTCGGAGAAAAATATTCACAAGTGCAGGGCTCTAAAAAGGGCGACTTGTGAAATTCCTGTTTTCTCCCACTTTCAATTTGCTGTATCTCCTAAAGTAATAGGCATAGAATCCTGAAAATTTTTTCTCGCATACTTGAATGTACGTCTTGTGGAAGCATTTGAGAAAAATCTAAGTTATAATTTTATAAATACGTAATTTTGAATTTTAAAAAGTGACGAAACTGCTGAATTTGCTGGTTTTTGCTGAATTTTTTTGCCAGCTAAATTTGTATCCCATCTTGAATCAAGTATATTTTCATGAACTACATACATTTGTGCATCTCTTGTTTTCATTTGGCATTTATATCATTAATGCTTAATTTAATATTAATTTGCAACTTTCGTCAATTTCCGAAAAATGGATGAAAAAGAAAA